CACGGGGTCTGGGACTCAAACTGCTGCTGGCCACAGGGTAGTCCAACTCCTTAACCACCATGCCACCTGCTGTCCTCTTGACATTTTTTTCTCCAAAAGCAGTGAATGCTCATGATAAAAAAAAAATTCAGATGGTACTAAGGAGTATACACTAAATAAAATCTCTCTCACCTCCAACCCTTGTGCAGAGATTGCCTCCTGGAGGCTGCCCCTGTGTCTGGTTTCTTGCATTCCTTCTAGAGAGTTTCTGTGCACATAACACACAGATGTCTACTCATCCCTCTGGTTGTAGTCACTCGGTCACTCTCCAACGGTCTACATCCTTTTCATTTAGTTGTGTATCAAAAGATATTGTCGGGAACCAGCAGTTAGCGTAATGGCTATGTCGCTGGACTCCCACGTAGTCGACCGCGGTTCGCATCCCGGACCCGGTGGCTTAGAACTCATGCCGGGCGCGGGTGTGTGTGTGCCCAAGATCCCGAGAGGAGAATGGAGGAGAAGGGATTGCGGTGTGACCATCCCCCCTGGGGGGTGATTTCTAGCTTTCTGTCTCTACATCTCTCTCTGTCTGGTGAGCGCACGCGCCCTATAGCGAAAAACCTCCCCCCCCCCCAAAAAAAAAGATATTGTCATCTCTTGTTTTTGGTGTTGTACGGCATTTCGCGTGGATGTGCCCTTGTTTGTACTGTGTTCATCCTTTATTATTGCAATCAACACTGCAGTGAATCCTTGTGTACTTTGTGAGTGTACACATAAGATAAATATCTAGAAATAGAACATCTGGCCAAAGGGTATATGTGTCCTAAAAACTTGGGAGGCATTGTCAAATGCCTTCCAGTCAACTTTTTTTGAAAGATGAGTAAAGATGCAGCTCAAAGAGATGGAGCCATGAAACTTGCCCCAGGCTCCTCCATCTGTGAGTGGCAATGCAGGAAGCAGAAGAAGGCTGTCTCCAGGCCCCGCCCTCTTCCCTGGCTCCAACCTGCTCTTCCCCATTGGCGGTTCAGATCCCCAGGCCCTCCAAGCCTCTGCTTCAGACCTGTCACCTTCTCTGACCTCAGTGCCCTACTGACCCAGTTCCTTGGCCACTCGGACAAGCCCTCTTTAGTAATGACTTGATTCTGAAGTCCTCAGACATCTTGCAGGAATCCAGGGATGCCCACAGTCTCTCAAGGGCAGGCAATTTCCACCTTGGTCTGGTTCCTTTGACAGTGCCATGCATAAATTTCAGAGCAAAGCACCTAAATATTTTGTTGATGGGAACAAAGGTAGGCAGGGGGAAGTGGCTCTCTTATGTAAATACTCTACAGTTCATAAAGAGCATTTGAAATGAGATTTCCTGGGGCCAGCAAGTGGCATGGTGGATAAGTCACCGACTACCACATGGCCGAGTGCAGTTAGAATTCAGGATCTGGCAGCTTGCTTTCTCACTTTCTCTCTCTTTCTTTCTTCCTCTGGTTAAATTAAAAATAAATAAATAAATAAAATTAAATAATTCTTTTTAAAAAAAGGAAACAGGGGAACCAGCAGTTAGCGTAATGGCTATGTCGCTGGACTCCCACGTAGTCGACCGTGGTTTGCGTCCCGGACCTGGTGGCTTAAAACCCACGCCGGGCGCGTGTGCGTGCGTGCCCAAGATCCCGAGAGGAGAACGGAGGCGGAGGGATTGCGGCGTGGCCATCCCCTCTGGGGGGTGATTTCTCGCTTTCTGTCTCTCTGTCTCTCTCTGTCTGTCTGGCAAGCGCACGTGCCCTATAGTGAAAAACCTCCCCCCCCAAAAAAAAAAAAAAAGAAAAGAAAAAAAGGGAAACAAATCAGATTTCCCTCATTTAACTTAACACTATAAAGGCAGCTTTTTCTTATTTTGAAAATTGTACTTAAGGCTCCACCCTCTATGACTCAAAAGTTTTCTAAAACACCCAGGTGTTGTGCCACTCTCCCGTTTGCTATAGACTCCCTGTGCCCTCCGAGCAGTCCCGAGCTCCCTCACCTGCCCTCCCAGGCCCTGTGATCTGACCTGCCTTTCTCCCCTTCATCCTCAAGCCCATCCACCCGGTGTTCTGTCACACTGAATGGCCGGCCTTGCAAGGGCTCCCAGAATGCCTGCCCACCCACTGCCCCAATGTCTGCTTGCCTGTCTGGGCTCTAAAAAGGGAGCCCAGAGAGCGGATGGCTGGGCTCATGTGTGTTTACTCCTCAGTGCACACAGGGGCTGGGCCCTGTAAACACTGAGTGGCCAAGGGTCTGAGTGTCTGAGCTGGCCATGTTGTTGGGGAGCAGAGCAAGGAACTGTCAATCCAGTCTCCTAGAGAGGCACTGAGAGGGGACGGACGCCAGAGAAGTCCTTGGGTCTGGTGACAGTGCTTGGTCCCATCCATACACCCAGAACTCTATCGTGGACTCTCTCTGACCTTCCAGCCCTTTTAATCAGAATCTTTTGAGGCCAGAGGAATTTGTGGCCATCAACTATGTAAGAGAAGTTGTCGTCAGTTAAGACTGGCTGGCCCCGGCTTCTGGAGCAGGCAGCTCACCTCCCGGCCTGTGTGGGTGCCTTTTCCGGAGTGCTACCTGACACCCCCCACACACACACACACATCCACAGTCTAATCAAGTGGTGCCTCTCTGGGCCCGTGTATCTTGACAGAGAGCTGCCCTCAGTGTCTCTGGCCTCAGATGGTGGCTTCCGCCTCAGAGGTCTGGGATGCAGCAGCACTGGGGGGCTGGTGGCCACTACTGGGGAGTGGGGACATATCAACCAAGTACCTCTGCATCTCCCTTCAGAAAGTCCCTCAAGCCTGTCTCAAGGGGTAGGGCTGTTCAAGTGCAGAGACGTCAAAAGGAAAAGCAAGAACTTAGGGATCCAGGGCTGGCACCATAGCCTAGTGGTTAAGGGAGCTGCGTCCATACGACCAGCTATGGTTGGAGTCCTGGCTCTGGCAGTTTAAAAAGCATGCCAGTTGGTGTATGCATGTGTGCCTTAAATCCCGACAGGGTAGAAAAATAGGGGAGAAGGGATTGCTTTCTTCCTCTTCCTCTTTCTCTGTTTCCGTCTCTCTCTGGCAAGCACACGTGCTCTATGGCAATTAAAAAAAAAACAAACAACAACTTAGGAATCCAAATCATGAACTCCCTTTAAAGTAGTTGCCTTGGTGATGGTCGATGGTGTCACGGGAGAGCCACTGGCAGCCACAGGGATTTGCCTCAGAGCAGAAGCACATAGCTCGACTGTATTCACAGGGCTTGACCCGACAACCTGTGTTCCCAAAGTCCAGGACAAAGATTTGCTATCTTTGAGGACAGTCAAAAGAAAGTGATGCCAGCCTTTTCATCCCCCTAGTCATCTTTATGGGAAGTGACACAATTAGAATGATGATCCAGTGGCTTTACTTTTTTTTTTTAGAGAGAGAGATTTTTCTATAGGGCGTGCGCACTCTCTGGAGAGACAGAGACAGAGAGACAGAAAGAGAAAAGTCACCCCCCAGGGGGATGGCGATGCCACAGTCCCTTCCCCTCCATTCTCCTCTTGAGATCTTGGGCACGCACATACACACACCTGATGTGAGTTTGAAGCTGCTAGGTCTGGGACTTGAACTGTGGTCAACTACATGGTAGTCCAGCAACGTTACCGTTATGCCATCTGCTGGTCCTGTATTTTTTTTTTCTTCATTTTTTTTTTTCGGGAGAGGTTTTTGTTATAGGGCGCATGTGCTCACCAGACAGACAGAGAGAGACATTAGAGACAGAAAGTGAGAAATCACCCCCCAGGGGGGATGGTCACGCTGCAATCCCTTCTCCTCCATTCTCCTCCTGGGATCTTGGGCACTCATACACAAGTACCCAGTGTGATTTTCAAGCGTAATGCTAACTGCTGGTCCCCCTGTTTTTATAAGAGAGATTTTTTGCTATATGATATGTGCGCTTGCCAGAAAAATAGAGACAGAAAGACAGAAAGTGAGAAATCACCCCCCAGGGGGGATGGTCACGCTGCAATCCCTTCTCCTCCATTCTCCTCCTGGGATCTTGGGCACTCATACACAAGTACCCAGTGTGATTTTCAAGCGTAATGCTAACTGCTGGTCCTACTGTTTTTATAAGAGAGATTTTTTGCTATATGATATGTGCGCTTGCCAGAAAAATAGAGACAGCAAGACAGAAAGTGAGAAATCACCCCCCAGGGGGGATGGTCACGCTGCAATCCCTTCTCCTCCATTCTCCTCTTGGGATTTTGAGCATGCATGCATGTACGTCCAGTGTGAGTTTCAAGCCACTGGGTCCAGGACTCGAACTGCAGTCAGCCATGTGGGAGTCCAGCGACATAACCACTATGCCATCTGCTGGTCCCATGGCCTTACTTTTCTGACATTTCCCTTAGGGCTATACTGACTTACAGAAGTGACTTCAACCCACCCCGTCACTTTGGACATAAATCTCTTAGGCTCTCAGACGCAGTTGCCTCAGTCTAGGGAAATCAGAGAGCTATTCCAAGATGATTGGGGCATCTATTTTTTGGTGATTTACTGGCAGCGTCCCTGATCTACACACCCCACTAGGGTGGTGTCCCCATCATTCAAATGAAGAAACAGGCCTCTCAGCTAGTGGGCCAAGAGTTGAGCCTAGATCTGTTTCTTCCAAAGCGTGGGCTCTTTTTCCCTTTTGTAGTTTCTTGTTGAAGACAAGGTAAGTGACCAAAGGGATTCTGATGGAGTCCCCAGGAGAAAGCAAGGTCATTCCATTTAGCACTGAGGTGAAACTACTGAGAGGGGACCAGATAATGCCAGGCTTGCTTGCAGGAGGCTCTGAGCCTCGGGTGTGCTGAGTGAATGTCTGGCAGTCAGGGCGATAACCCATGCACAGGGCAGGGGTGAGGGAGGGATGTGTGCAAAATGGGCACTGGGGTGGGAAGATTGTCAGCAGGGCAGAGTGGGCTGGTGGCTTCGGGTGGGCCAGGACCCCGCAGCAGTTTCCATGCCCACCTTTCCTTTTATTGCAGATGTTTTCAAGTCAGCAAACATTTACTGAGCATCTACATGTACAAGGTACAGTTCTGGGTGCTTGGGGCAGGGCACGTGGGGGACGGGGTGAATGAATCACAGAACATTCACTGCCTTTGGGAGAAGCTGGCGCAACAGGGGCAGACGTGGGGATTGGAAAGTGTTCCAAATGGCAAGTGCTTTGCCCAGTAGGGACTGAGCAGGAGGGCCTCCAGCACCATCTGGGGCATGGGGGACAGGTTGCTGGGTGTGGGACAGCTGCAGTGGGCTCTGCAAATCCAGTCTCATCTTGTTGGCTACGGAGTGAGAAAGGTGTTTGAGGCAGAGGTGCCAAGGTGGGGTCCACCATACCCTTTTAGCTTAGTTAGATTCCTTGGCCCATGGGCAGGGGCTCCTGAAAATTGAGTCTAGTTGCCAGGGTTCTATCTCCAGCAACTGGCCTTCCCCCCAGGAGCCCAGAGCTGGCTCTCCAGCTGGGGCCCATAAGATTCTGGGGATGGGGCTCTTCCTCCTGCAATGACAAGCACACCCCTTCCTGCCCTGAACATCTTTGGGTACCTGGCCAGTTGTTGGACTGGAAGGTGGCAAGCTGGGGATGGGGCAGCTGCTACCTGAGCCAGGTTTTTCCTCACTCCCTCAAGTGGGCCAAGGAGTATCAGCCCACCTTTCTGTGTAAGTCTGATTTGCACAAAGTAACATGGTCCTTTCTGCTGCTGGAGGGAAGCAAAGAGAAACCCTCGCCCCGCTCTTTGTGTGCTGGGTCCTCCCCAGTGAGAAAGCCTCAGGCAGCCCTTCTGAGCCATGGAGAAGCTTGAGCTTCCCCAGGCAGAAGGACAGAGGCCAGATTCCCCTTCTCTGCACCCCTTCTCCATGTTTCCCATAGCAAAGGCTAAGGGGGCCTCTCTGACACTTGCCTTGGACTTGGGGATGGAGGTGACTAATGCTAACAGAATCGCATGTGTTCCCGTCACCCTGGCCCCAGCCTGATATTGTTACCAGATGAGAACATGTCTTATTGGGTTTAACTTTGAGGTCTTTGGAGATAGAGTGCTTTGAGTAACAGGCAGCCATTCTGTGTCCTAAATAAATCCTGGGTCCTCTTACCTTGTCCTGCTTGGGCTGGGGCCAGAGCTTGCTCTGGGGCTTTGAGAGCACTCGCAACACCGTCCCCTCCCCCTCATGGTGCTAGGACCGCAGGTTCCCCAGCCGAGTAGCTGGAAGGTGGCTTCCGTCCCAGCCCACTCCTCCTGCTAAGGGGCCCTGGCTGCAGCCATGGGGCCCCCTCAGGCTAATGTGCTCTCTGCTCTTCTCCCTCTGGAGATGAACATCTGCAACAAGCCCTCCAACAAGACAGCGCCTGAGAAGAGTGTGTGGACGGCGCCTGCGCAGGCCAGCGGACCCTCCCCGGAGCTGCAGGGCCCTCGGTCCCGCCGGAATGGGTGGAGCTGGCCCCCTCACCCGCTCCAGATTGTGGCCTGGCTGTTGTACCTCTTCTTCGCGGTGATCGGCTTTGGGGTCCTTGTTCCCCTCCTGCCTCACCACTGGGTGCCCGCTGGCTACGCTGTATCCTTGGGAACGTGGGGAGCTGGGGCATGGAGGGGGGTGCCCACTGGTTGGGCAGACATGGCAGAGACCTGAAGGGGGCTGGGGGCCTCATAGAGCTCGAGGTGGAGCACAGCTAGGGACCAGCTGCATACCTGCCTGGTCTCCAGCCCAGCTCAGGTGAGTGGATGATGAATCTAAAATCCCTTGGACTTTAAAGCCCCACCCAGATGTGACCCTTAGTACAAGAGCAATCTCAGAGGAAGAGAGCCCTAAAGCCATCTTTAAGCTAGTTGTGTTCAGACCTAAACAAAGGATAAATTAGGGGGTAATTATTGCATTTATGAAAGGATTTTTCACTTTTCAAAAAGGGTCATGGTAGAATTCTTTTACATGGTAAGTTTCCTAGTACATTTAAGATGTGGTTTTATTTACAGACAGATTATTACGCTGTTTACAAGCAGAGTTTGTAAATTAGACCCTTTTCGGGTGAGGTTGAATGTGACAAGAGACCAGATAGAGGAGCCCTGGAGGCTTCTGGGATCAGCGACAGACATGGACCTACCTAAGCCTGGTGGTGTGACTGGCTCAGCCCTAACCACGACCCCCAGGTTTGGAGGATGTGGCTACAGGCAGGGCATCAGTATGAGAGTGTCCTGGTGTGCTTCCCGCTGGGGTGGGGGGGTAGTGGGCAGGGCCCAGGGAGAGCTGGAGAGCCTGGGGCAGCTTAGTCCCAGCTTAACCCCTTCAGGGCCACATTGGGCTAAGCAGCTCTCTGGGTCTCAGGCTCCTCCTCTGTGTGGCAGGAAGGGTCCGCAGGGTGGGGATGAGGAGCGCGTAGGATACGTGTGAGCACTGGAATGCAGAAGCCATACACATGAGGACGATATCCTGGGAAACTGCAGAACCTGGGGCTGGTGAGTGACAAGGGCAGGTATGTGGAGAGGGACCCCCGAGAAGGGGTCATCCTCAGACACAAGCACCGTACCTGGCAGGGCTTCCTGGTTCACTAGAGCCCACGATCTGGCCTTGATCGGGGAACGGGAGACTGGACTTTGCCTGGGGTAACCGACAGGCCTTAGTGTTGTTACGTAGAATGCTTCATGGGACACGCCTAGGTCTAGAGTGGGTACAGCCCTCACTTGGGCTTACCTGAATTTCTGCCTTCCGCGTACCTGGGGGACCAGATGAATAAAGGCATTGTTTGAAGAACTTAGAATCAGTTACAAAAGTAACTAGTGTTATGTGCTGGGCACCATGCCAGCCACCTGATGTGGATCATTTTCTTGATCCTCATAATATTCCTGGAAGGAAGATGTTCTCCCCATTCTACGATGAAGAAACAGGGGCCCAGGGACTTCCTGAGGTCACACAGCTGGAGCCCAACGGGGCTGAAAGGGTGCTCAGGCAGCCTGACTGAGGAGGTGGGATGGTTGGAGGGCTTCGTCTTCCCCACATTCAGTGTCCCTCTGTGTTGGGCATCATGGTTGTCATAAAATATACAGATCTTAAGTGTTCCTTCTACACATGTATTTTATTATATTATTTATTTTTAGAGAGATTTTTGCCATAGGTACACGTACTCAATGGAGAGACAGAGACAGAAAGCAAGAAATCATCCCTGAGGGGATGGTCACACCACAATCCCTTTTCCTCCATTTTCTTCTTGGGATCTTGGGCACACACACACACACACACCTGGTATGAGTTTTAAGTTGGTAGGTCCAGGACTTGACCTATGGTCGACTGTGTAGGAGTTCAGCCATGTAACCATTATGCCATCTGCTGGTGCCTCTATAGGTATACTTTTAAAATACTTATTTAGCATTTCAGCATTTAGCGATCTCATGTAAAAATACAATTTCGGGGGCCACCAGATGGCGTAGCAGTTAATGCCCCTGGACTCTCATATGCCCAACTGCGGTTCAAGTCCTGGACCTGGTGGCTGGAAAATTACAATAGGCACATGTGCATGCAGGCCCAAGATTCTAGGGGGGGAATGGAAGAGAAGGGATTGCAGCCATCCCCCCTACAGGGTGATTTCTCACTTTCATTCTCACTGTCTCTGTCTGCCTCTCTGGCCAGTGCATGTGCCCTAAGGCAGATGGTTCTCTTTCAAGGGCCAGAATTTGGCAGCACAGACCCTCATTCTTGCATGGCAGTCGCGAGCTGGAAGCACACATGAGCCACACCTCTGGCTGGCTCTGTGTGTGCCAGTGGCTTCGGGACCCGGGCACACTCCTTCCGCTACATTGCCTGCCGGGTCCCTGTTGCCCATGTCTCTCCAAGTCTCAGGTAGACCTTCCGAACCCCTTCAAAACTAGCTCGGGTCACTACTTAAAAGCTCACAGAGCCCAGGAATCTTCTTCTTTGTAATTAACCCATTATTTGATTGATATCTGAGTTTTCCACCAGACTGTGGGCTCCTTGAGCTAGGGAACAAGTCCGTCTGGCCCCTGCCCCTCTCAGTGCCTGGCACAAAGAAAGACCTGAGTGAAGAGCCCAGTGAATGAACCAGGGGGCGGGGCTGGAGAAGTGCTGGAGCAGGCAGGAAGCTGAATGTTTGCCCACTTGCCGGGAGTCTGAAGAGAGGCTGGAATGGTGAGGGGCAGGAGCCCGTGACACTGAGAGGTTTGGGAGGAGCCAGAGCCAAAGGGGCCTTGGCACTGAGCTGAGGGTGAACCTCAGCTGGAGAGCCGTTGAAAGCCACTGTAGGAGGTTAAACAAGGAGGGTTTTATTTTTTTAAACTTTAATTTGCCATATGCCAGAGAGAGCAGTAAAAGGTTACACAATACCTTTTACCCTTTTCTCCTTGCCATCAGGATACTGCGCGCATGTGCACGTGCACACACACACACACACACACACACACACACTTTTCCAACCACTGGGGCTTGGATTTGAACTGCAGTCCAGCCACATGGGGTCTGGCTCCCTACGCACGAGATTTAACCACTGTGGTATGGAGCTTGGGGCTGGCCCAAGCAGTGAGAACTTCATATTTACAGTTTGTTTGTTTGTTTGCTATAGAACATGTGCATTTGCTGGAGAGATAGAGAGAGAGAGAAGGAAAGCGAGAAGTCCCCCTTCCTCTCCCCCTGCCACCCCAGCGGAAATGGCCACACCACAGTCCCTTCTTCACTCTCCTCTTGGTATTTTGGGCACACGTGCACACATGCCTGCCTTGATTTTCTGCCAGGACCAGCTTAGCATGAACACGTTTTTTTGCGTGGGGAAGGCTGTGGATTAGAAATAGACGCAATAACACACAAAGACACACAAGTATAGAAAAGCGAGGGTCGGGTGGGCACAGCTCCTCTGATGGAGAAGTTGCGACCAGAACCAGCTTCAGGTCTATTTTTTTAAAGGGCAGAAAATGAGGGGAGGGGCAAATGGGATGCTAAAGGAATGGGAGAGAAGGAAATGGAATGCAAAGAGAATAAGGGAGGAGAAATCAGAATGCAAAGCCAGTTGTTTGGGATGTAAATCGTCTGAAGATGTGAAAATGACTGGTGCCATATAATTTCTCTGATCTTTTTTGGGGGACAATCTGATAAACGCATGTGACTTCCTTTAGCCCAATACTGGACAGTATGGGGTTTGGGTATCAACAACAGGAAGACAACCATTGACAGCAGGCAGATACTGCTTTTGGATATAGACGCTTCTCAATGGCCCTGCTAGAATAACTTACAAAAGCGCATATCTGCGTGTGTCTACAGGCCACATGTTTTAATCACATGTTTTCAGACTGGCTGCTCTCCACAATTTTCAAGCCTCCTGGTCTGGGACACAAACCACAAAGGTGGCCGTGTGGGATCCAGCGCTTTAACCACCACGCCACCTGCTGGCCCCAGTTTGTACACGTTTAAAAGTTCAGTCTGGTACTGTGTGAAAGGTAGACTCGGGGAACGTAGACAAAGGGGCCAAGTTGGGAGAACGCAGAGTAACCCGGCAAGAGGGGAAGACCTGACTGACGCACAGCAGTGGCCACGGGGATGGAGAGGTCAGAGAGTTCCCGAGGTCTTTCAGCTACGGCACCGCACTTTCGGGCCAAGCCTGGCTCACAGGCGTTGCAGGGTTTAACTGACTGCTGGGGGGAGGATGGGGGAAAGGAGGCCGGACAGCTGATGGGTGGAGGATGGAGGATGAATGGTGGATGGAGTGTGAACAGCGGAGGGACCATGTGTGCCTGACTAGCAAAGGACGGGTAGAGGATCATGGGTAGGTGGGTGGCTGGACGGAGGGAAGGAGAGTGGGTCTGCCCGGGTGGAATCTGCCGGTGAGTTTTTGAATGTTCAGACTTCACAGAAGTTGTCTATACTTGTCTCCTGCATTGGGCTTAGTCCCTGAGCAGATCGGTCCTGGAAGAGCTGTTTCAGCTCCAGAAATTAGCTATGCTGCCCCTGGCCAGGCCCTGAACACGGCAGGCCATCCCAGACACTCAGCCCAGGGCTCCCCATGCCAGAACCCCAGCTGTGGGGGTGGCCAGCGAGGGGATGAGCCTGTGTCTGCAAGCGATTCTCCATCTGGCTTGGCTGCTGAGAGGAGGTAGCTGCTTCCGTCTCAGAGCCGACTTCCTGTGAGGCAAGAGAAACAAGCTGAGAACTTGCTGTCGGTTTCTGTCCTCAGACCGTAAAGGATGATCTCTGTCAGTCTCGCTTCACCATCTGGAATCTGAAACCAGAAACTGGCTTGAGGTCAGGTTAGGGCCTGAGCCAAGCAGTGAGGCCAGGGTCCTGCGGTTGGGAACCTTGGTGGCAGCAGCAGGCACCGCTGGCTTGTGCGCTCCATGACTGGATGGCCCCACTCCTCAGCCATTTGGTGCATAGGGGTTCACTGAAGAGATCTGCTGGGGGACCAGAGGTAGGAGATGGCACAGTCTCCGTCTAAAGGAGCTGCATGGCGGTGAAGTCCCCTGGCTGCAGGACGTGGGAAAGGGCTCCCAGCCGGCAGAGTGCGGAGTGAGTCTTTAACCTGCTGGGCCAGTGCATGGGCGCCATCTTTGCCGGCCACCTTGTGGTGCACCTGACTGCTGTCTCCATCGATCCAGCAGATGCCAACGTGCGGGACAAGAGCTACACCGGGCCCCTGCCCATCTTCAACCGCAGCCAACACGCACACGTCATTGAAGACCTGCACTGCAACTTGTGCGACGTCGATGTGTGAGTGTGTGAGTGTGAATGCATGGGTGCATGTCGGCGATGCGTGTGCCCATGGCATTGCCAACAGGGTGCAAGGCAGAGGGGCGCACCAGGGCTTCAAGTCATCCTGAAGCCTCAGAACCCTCAGTCAGGAATCTTGATGGAGTGACAGAGAACTGGGTCCCTGAGGTGGCGAGAGAAGGTGATTGGGAACAGTTGGGGGATAGCATGTCCAACAGTTAACGTGGGGACATTTGGCATTTCTGACGGCTAACTGCCAATGACGCCCCAAAGGTGGGGAGAGTTGACACCGAGTACTTCCTATGTGCTGAGCACTGTGTACCACCCCCCGCATGGTAGGCGTACCTGTCACCTCACAGAGAAGGGAGAGCACCCCCCTCCCCACTCAGAAAGACCAGGCGCCTGCCGCAGCCATGTAGCTCCTGAGCAGATTGGCAGCCCAGGCCGCAGGCCCTGAGCAGATCTGTTACCCTTGTCGTGCCATGGGGACTTTGAGGCCCCGAGAGGCCCAGTGACTTGTTCCTGCTCACACTGCTGGTGAGAGGGGAGGCAGAATGTGGAACACCCATTCCCCCTCAGCTGGTCCCAGCTGCCTCTCAAGGACCCATCCCCATCCTTCGAGAGGTTTCCAGTCTTCTAGCCTCAGGTGAGGCTCAGGGATGGGGCTATGGTCCGAGGCCACTCCACAGTTCAGTCGGAGACCAGGCAGCCTGTCGAAGGGAACGAGAAAGCCTAAGAGCATCAAGTCACTAAGGACATCACTATTAGGCCATCCCGTCCTCAAGGCCTCCTGAGCGCTTCTGGGGCAGGGGTTGTGCTTCACTCTCCCACGCTCCTTTGGGCCTTCCCTGTGCCTTCCAGGTGAGACAGAGAGGGCAGGGGGGAGAGGGCCCAGAAACTCTCTAGCATCCTCCCAGCTTGCCTTCGTTGCCCCCACAGTGAGCTGCACTAATGCCCATCCAGATGGCACCTTGCTTCTCTCTGACCCTTTCCATTAGCCTGCCTGGACTGAAGTTTTCCCAAAAAATGCCAGGAGATTTTCCATAGAGCAGGAGGGGAACAGGGACCCCAAAATGGAAGTGTCAGGAAGAACAATGCAGGCCCTGGGCCCTTAGCCTTGCTGTCGGTTCCTCAGCCCCATGCCTGCATCTCCTGGCTTGGCACAGGGGTCCTTGCTTAGAAAGGAAGCCCCTTTAACGTCTCATATCACCATTGACTAAGTGTGCTGTCCCAGAGCAGGACAGCTCAAAGCACCCCCCACTGTCCTCCCACCTCATCGAACCCAAACGCTAGGAAAGCGCCACTTCCTCAGGGGCCCCACCCCGCAGTGCCGCCAGGGGGCGCGTTCGCTCTGCCGGGTGGGTAGATACCGCCTTCTCAGGCTTGGAGCTGCGGACCCTCCAGCCTAACCCCGCCGGGCCGCGAGGCAACCGGCAGAATGAGCAGCCGACCGCGATGCCCCATCCTCCCGCAGGAGCGCACGCTCCAAGCACTGCAGCGCCTGCAACAAGTGCGTGTGTGGCTTCGATCACCACTGCAAGTGGCTCAACAACTGCGTGGGCGAGAGGAACTACCGGTGAGAGTGGGCTGGGCGTGCAGGGGCCTGGGACAGCGCGTGTCCGACTGTGAGAGCCCGAGAGCTTGCAGCCCGCGGGCAAGGCAGGCCGGGGTGCGGGCCCTTCGAGGGCCTGTGTGCCGTTGTGCCTGTGTGTGCCGCTCAAAGGGTGGTGCCCCTGGGTGCCAGCTTGGACAGCGGATGGCGGGTTGGGGTCTACCACCTTGTTGACTCACAGAAAGGTGGGGGGCATAATGGGGATGGCCTCCTACCTTCAGTTATGCCTATGCCTGGTTTCTGAGAAGTTGGGCTAGTTGGGTGAGAGGCCGGCGCCCCATCCCAGCCACCAGCCTTTCTGAGCTCCTGGCCCTTATGGAGCTGGAGCACCCAGTGGCTGACAGCTGCCCATGGCTGGGCCCAGGCTCTTTCTACAGAGCGTGGCATCTGCTTTACTGGGTGTCCTGCTCCTGGTGCTGGTGGCCACTTACGTCTTCGTGGAGTTCTTTGTCAACCCCATGCAGCTGCGTACTAACCGACACTTCGAAGGTCAGTGAGGGCTCCAGACCCACTCAGGTCCACCCCCAGCTCCCACCTTGGGCCTGTTCTGCTCACTGGTGACAGCAGGGACTGAGCAGTCCGCATGTGCCTTGCAGTCCTGAAGAATCACACGGACGTGTGGTTCGTGTTCCTGCCTGCAGCCCCTGTGGAGACGCAGGCTCCTGCCATCCTGGCCCTGGCCGCCCTACTCATCCTTCTGGGCCTGCTCTCCACAGCCCTGCTCGGACACCTGCTCTGCTTCCACATTTATCTCAGTAAGTGCCTCTCTGTTCCCCTCGCAGAGGACAGGGAGGTTCCCAGTTGAACTGTAGAGCTCTGAAACCGTGCCCCCTTCAGTGCCACTCTCTGGTGGCCTGCTCTCACCAGGGCTTGATGTAGAAGGGGACAGTGGTTTCAGCCCGGGGCTGGGTGCCTTCTCTTCCTCTTCTGAGCTTCACGATACTCCCCCCTCCCCCCAGTGTGGCACAAGCTCACCACCTATGAGTACATCGTGCAACACCGCCCACCGCAGGAGGCCAAGGGGGCCCACAGGGAGCTCGAGTCCTGTCCTCCCAAGATGCGGCCCATTCAGGTATAGAGGTGGCCTAGCAGTCTGAGAGGGTGGGAGATGGGGCCTGGGGTGGGGTGCGGGTAGGGTGTGCATCGAGCAGCCAGTGAGAGGGCAAAGGAAGCAAGCCTGGAACAGCAGCTGGAGCAGGGGTGCTGGGGCCGTGGGGCCACATCCACACTGAGCATGCGCCCACTTGCCCGAGTGTGGGCACAGACAGAGGGAGCCTTGCATTTCTCTGACACCGGGTACATGTCTGTCCTGGTACCAAGCATGTACTGGAGGGCACAGAACCTGGAAGCCCGGAAACAGGCAGGTTGGGGCTGCAGGAGGAGAGAGAGGGGTGGACCAGTGACGTCAGCAATTGGAGCGGACGGAGCCATCAGTTCTGTCCATCTGTGCCCAGCTCTCCGTCCATTACTCTGGTCCTTAGATCCGTCCCTGAGGCAGGAACTGTTAGCACACCCGTGCTGCAGATCCGCATACCGAGGCCTATGAAGGTTAAGCAGAGGCCAGGCCTGGGGACAGTTAAGGTTTCCCCACTCTGAAGCAGGAGCCCTCCGGCCTAGGCTCCAGCCTGGTCAGCTCAGCTGCTGCCCAGCCTGTCCCCATTCCCATGCCCTGTGGCTTCCTGAGGTCAGCAGCTGGGGGTGGGGGTGGTCCAGTCCTCAGAGGCCCTAGGGACTGGGAAGGCAGGGGGCCCAGGCAGACTTTGCTGGAAGGCTGAGCCCTGGATCCCAAGTCCTCATGGCAACTGGACACAAACACAGGCTGGTGGGCGGGTTGGGGGAGGGCTTGGGACCCCGCCCCTCCTGTTCTCTTCCCTGGGGCTGGGCCCTGTCTCTGTGCCAGGCTGCAGTCCTGAGTAGGCTGGGTCTGGGGGAGTGCTAGCTGTGGGTGGAAACCCCCCACTATACCATTGTTTGTGCCTTGGTGCAGGGCACTGACCTGTGTGACAGTGGCAGCCATCCTGGGGACTGGGCATCACCCCCACATCACAGTTGAGACTGAGGCTTGGAGCAGGCAGGAGACCGGAGCCTCTCAGCCAGCCCTGGGGTGCCCAGACTCCAGGGCTCTGTCCCTGCCTTGCCTAGGGGTTGGAGCCAAATGTGGCAGCAGCAAGGACATGTGTCTCCTGCCCTCCAAGTGGTCTGAGGGAGGCCTGCCAGGGGTAAGGGCACATACTTGTCCCCTTCTACAGAGGAGGGCGCTGAGGCCGAGGGGCCATGGATACTTAGGAATGTGCACACTTTTGGAAATCTCTGAGGGAGGGCCCTAGAGACAGCTATGATGAGACAGGGATCTGAGTGGGGACCCCTTGGTGACATTTTCAGACTATCCCAACTGACGAGGGCCTGACTCCTGTCCTGTCTGGCAGGCACTTCAGGCTTCTGGACTATCTTCTCTGCCTTTCTTTGCTCCCTTCTGTGGGAACAGGGGCCCGGAATATGCTCCAGCCCTCTCTGCTGGGCCCTGGAGGGTTGGGGTCTACACCAGGCATGAGAAGTTCCTTCAGATCCCAGTTCCTGTTATTGACCTCTGACTCCTGGGGCTCCTCTGCTCAGACTGGCACTCCATATCCCTTCTCAAAGGGTCAGCTGGGCAGAGGTCAGGCAGGGGGCTGACTAGGGGTCTCCGGTTGTGCACCTGTGCAGCTACCCGCCGCAGTACACATTGAAATATTTTTTGGTAGAATATTATAATGGGTAGAATTTGATTTTTGCCAATTCTGGTACTACTTGGGCGAAAGCCCCCAAACATAGGCTTGTTTTAGAGACGGCGGCGTTGCTGTTACAGTGTCATCTCTGGATTAGTCAGGACGCCTCGGTCTCCATGGAAACGGCTGCCTAGCAGGCGACAGCTGTCCGGGTGCTACCCCTCCCTCCTTGCCCGGCGGGGGCGGGCCTCACCCCTGGCTCCGCCCCGCATCCCGGCACCACGCCCTTCCCCGGCGGGCTTTTTCCTGGCTTTTGTTTCTTCACCTGCAACCTCGCCCGCGTGATTGAGGCGGGTCCTGTGTGCTGGGGTGCGGGCGTAGGCGCCTCCCGCCCTCCAGGCTTCTTCGCTTTTCTGGGTTGTGTCTGCAGCTCTAGGGTCGCTGTGAGGATCAGCGACTAAACGACGACACGCAGCCTGCCCGTAGCCCGGTGCCTGATGGGCGCTGCAGCGCTGTTAGTTCCACCTTTCCCTTGGGGACAGAGGCGGGGGGGGGGGGGGGGCAAGC